CTGAATTTTGACAGAGGCAAGGCGCGGCTTTAAGATGATAGGACTGCATGAACAGCCTAAATTACAAAAAATAATACATCAAATTAAGAGATCAATTCAATTTTCTGAAGCATACTACAATGGGCCTGTTGCAAACTTTTGCTAGAGCAAAACTAAGAGTTGTTTCTTATAGATAATGCCTCAAAAATCACGATGAGCGCATCGGCAAAGTCTGAAATGCACTCATAACTTCACAGTCTGCGTAAGAAATTTGCGGTTTTTTGAGCTTCCCGCTTCAAAAGCGATACTACGGCAACGGTGAACATTTTGTAAGAGGAGTCGTTCCATCGTCGGCTATACTCATCATGGCCGACGCCAATCCGCCAAAACACGTGTGATGGGACGAGATAATACCTGAACTGGATTAGACCAGATAACAATCGGCGTGTTTTAACGTTCATGTTTTCCACGCCCGCATTGATTGACCTTGAACTCTCCTCGAATTACGCGCAAAACTGCGCGCAAGTGTCGGCCATGATGAATATCGCCGACGATGGAGCGACTCCTCTAACAAAATGTTCACCTACGCCGTAGTATCGTTTTTGAAGCGGGAAGCTTAAAAAAACGCAAATTTCTTACGCAGATTGTGAAGTTATGAGTGCATTTCAGACTTTGCCGATGCGCTCATCGTGATTTTTGAGGCATTATCTACAAGAAACAACTCTTATTTTTGCTCTAGCAAAAGTTTGCAACAGGCCCATTCATCCCCATACTGAGTTGCAAGCTTCCAGCAACTTAATATTGCATCAAGAACTTAACTGCAGAAGATGAAAGCAAAGCGAATGCATGGATGATATCAAGGAGAAAGAAATCAAGCAATCATGAAATGCACATTTTGCAATTCGTACCACTAAATAGGTGTGGATCATGACGATCACTTAGTATGACAATACTGCGTAAGTCATACACAAGGGTGTGCATTCTTAAAAACTTTTTCGTTTTTAGCTTTCATGAAAAAAAAAAAAAAAATGTTGTGGAACTGTTAAGATACAAACGATAAAAGTATTTTCAGCGATGATGTTATGGGACTGTTAAGATGCAAACGATAAAAAGTATTTTCAGCGATGATGTAAAACTGATGGAACTTTAACCAGAAAATTGAGTATATACATGCATAAGTCACCAAAAGTAAAAATGTGTTCGAATTCCTTTTTTATATTTTTATTTTAGTTCGGCTGAGGATCAATCTGTTACGGTCAATATTGAAAACTCAGGGAGAATTTCTGCGGAATTCAATTTAAACTTGGCCATTCAACTTTTCATTATTGCTCGGATTCCAGGACTCATATTCTAAATTGACTAAATTGAGTGGATGAGATGGACTTCATTTTGAAATATGGGACTACTATTTCTGGCTCTTTTTAGAAACAAGCAATAAGCTGTTAGTTTCCTTATACAGCTAGGTGCTTTTAAAGATAAGTTGGAAATAGTAATTCCTCATTGCAGAATGATGTCTGGGCAAATGCTGAACAAAGACATAGTTGGAACAGTAACAGGGGAAAAGCAACATAAAGCCTCACATGGCAGGAATTCAAAATCAACATACATAAACAGGTGATAAAGAATCAAAATTAAAAAACAAACAAATAAATTAATCAATAATAACATTAATAATGCTGAGATTAATATAAATTCCTGAGACAGAGTATTAGATAAGAATTGAGTGTCACTAATATTAACAGAGCTCCTATGGGGAGCCACTTCAAAATGAGGCATAGAATTATCTATAAAAATGACTAATAAATTTTGTTCTTTCTTACTGTACACATAGTTTACAGAGGACTTGAACATATGAGGTAGAGCAATATAATTTCTGACTGAACACGAGCTGGCTGGCTGGTTTGTCAATTTTTGAAGAAGCACAGAAAACTGTTTCAGTGATGGCCCCATTTGCTATATATTCTTGACTTAAATTTGATTTTCAGTGCTGAAATTGATTGTTCCATTCTTGCATCAAATATTTTTCATTGAAATTTGAAAAAAGGCAACATTGTTACAAACTTATTTTCAGCAGATTTTAGATGGTTTTCTGTGTGTATAAAACTGAAGAAATCACAGCTGTACCTCAACAAAATTTATGACAAGAAAAGACAGGGGAAAAACATGGATACAATCCTTGAAATGGGGGAAAACAAAGAAAAGAGGAATTCTAAAAATATGACATGCTGTAGTTTCAGCTGAGGTTCCAAGTTTGACAAACTGCATTAAAGCAGTCGGTTGCCTGAAGTTTTCCTAAACCTCCACAAACTTTTGTTTTAACAATAAAACAAATTATATCACTGATGAATCAGTCTTAGTGTGCTTCTTCCTATAAATATTGAATGAGGTCAGTAAATTTGTAACTTCCTCCAAAGATAAGTCATTTTCTTAAAACACACATAACCTGAGACTTGACTTAAAACATTCCAGATTCTTCTCAATAAAAACCAAGAATGTTACAAATCAACTGAACTCAACCGACTGTGTTATTTATTCAGCCTTGATGGGTTCAGGTTCCTCTTCGCTGAACTCATCTTCAGCTCCTGAAGAATACTCTGTGTCATCCATCATATGATTATTTTCTAATGCTAGCCGCTGCTCAGCAGAAATTTTTGCAGCTACCTTTGCAGCCTGCTCGGCGGATAGTTGATGATACGAATTCTCAGCGATCATTTGCAAATACGTGTCTAAAAGCGGGTTCCCTGTTGGTCCTGATGGACCTGGGACTTCACGATCTTTGGAAGGCGTTAATGAGAGATTGCCACCAGCAAATTTAGAGATGACAGACTGGTAGTTTGGTGAAGGGGAAAGAGCCCGAAGCTCGACCGAACCAAACCGGGCTGCACTGTGGTTGTTGTTGTTATTGTTTGAGTGTACAGTTAAGTCTTCAGGATCCTCGCTCCCACAGATGGAGTTTTCTCGTGATTTGAGGTCTAGCCTTGGAAGGCCTGGTGTTGTTTGTCCTGTTGGTGATGCACGAGCTCGCAGCTCTGCAGGAGAAATCTGAAAATAACAAATGTTTGTAATAATTAAAGAGATCTTTGTACGAAAGTTTAAAATAATAATAATTTAACCCTTAAAAAATTTGGTGAATAACATTACAGCTTTGTCGTCTGGTTACTTTTGGGTCCTCTCTCATGCATTGGATGGGAGTGAATGTCAATTGGAAAATACAAGATAATTTTACTGAAGAGTTGTGAGAGGTGTTACTATTACGTACTTTGTCTTTGAATTTTTAAGACAATCAATGATAAATCAATGTTTAGAATACATAATGATGGGAAAAATAAGAAATAAATTAATCAATTATTTAGACAAATGAGACAAAATGCAGCGTCATGTTCAATAATCATCAACATTTTGTCCAAGAATTTTTAAACTGAAATACGAAAATTGGCCCTGAAAGAGATACTTCTTTCTGCCTCAATGATACTGCTCAAGGTTTTATTCCTTCCAAAAACAAGAGTAGAAAAAAAGAATTTAAGTCAGAATTTCCACCGCCTGTTTGAGGGAGGTTTAAAAGGAAAGAAAAAAAACTCACTTTGATTCCAGCTTTGGCAAGTAGTCTTGACGCTAGCTCAGGATCAAAAGGTGAAGGCATTGGGAGAACAGGTAAGTCTTTAGTTGAGATGCCACGATGCTGCCGCGACATGTGAGAGTGAAGAGAATTCCTTGACTTTGCAACTGTCCCACAGAGAACACATCGGTATCCAGGACAAATTGTGTGCTTGTCCTCAAGGTGAGTCCGCAGTGTGTGAGCTGAACGATAGATTTTCCCACACTTTGGACAGGGTCTTGGATCTGTCGCTCGTACCCGCATCATGTCGAGACCACTTCGTCTTGAAACTGAAAAAACAAAGATTAGGCATTAAATAAGGTGCAAAATAAAATACCAAGACCCGATACTTAAGGTTTCAAATAAGCAATTAAGAACTGGTCAGAGAAAGGCATTTTGTTCCATAAGTTTGAACTGGATGAGTTACAATTGCAATAGAGTCATTGATTGGTTCAATTACTTGAAAATCAATATTGATTGACGAAACTACATTATTTTTATTAATGTTGAATCAACTTTTAGGCTCTCTCTTTTTACTTAATCACTGCACAGTTGTTGGTCTGTATAATTCATGCAGACCAAACTAAAAAGAAAGGAAGAAAAACGCTAAAAACAGTAGCAAGAGATATGTTATATAGAGTATCAAGCAGTCAGAAAATCAAAACAGTATCATGATACCAGTTAAGAACTTCATAAAATAAAAATCAGCACTATTTAAGCAGAGTAAGGAAATCTAAAAAAAATTCCGGATAGCTGGGAAAGAAAATTGAGTCAAGAAACTAATTCGAAAAATTCAGCAATGCGATTGCCTTTTTTTTTTTTTTAAGTGAAGGATACATTGAGAAATTAAAGCATTGATTGGGTGGTCACTTGTAAGTCATTAGTCTGTCTTTGTAAGAGGTTCACCTGACTTAACTAATTACATTTTGATACTTCAGCACTACAAGAGTAATGCTCCAACTGTTTACTGTCTGCAAGGAATTGACGAGTTCAACAATTGTAAGTGTGGTGTTTCATTCAGGGACAGTTTTGGATGAGCCATCGAGATCAATGGTGATTGCACCTCTTTTACCAGGTAGAGACAGGGTGTAGGAAAGGTATAATCATTCAAAAGTGTGAAAAGTATAAACAGTTCAACAATTGTAAGTGTGGTGTTTTATTCAGGGACAGTTTTGGATGAGCCATCGAGATCAATGGTAATTGCACCTCTTTTACCAGGTAGAGACAGGGAGTGGGAAAGGTATAATCATTCAAAAGTGTGAAAAGTATAAACAGTTCTTGTGTGCGACTATAATTGAGTTTTATGAAAGCGGCTGATCAAGATGGCAAGTGCTCTTTTAAGAAACACAACCAAACTCTACCCCTAATTTGTCTAAAAGTAAGACGGTTTAAAAAAAAAAAATATGACAGAAATAACGAAACATGATTTTTTGGTGATTTAAAATCATTTCCTTTTTTATTAACTTAACTTTTCGTGGAAAAGAGTTTTGGCAAAACGTTAACAGAGATTTTTACAAGTATCAGAAGCAACATTCAAAATAATGTTTACATAAAGGTTACAAAAACGAATGATAAAATATTTACGTGGAAGTATCTAGTAATACAACGATTGAATTGTCGTATTAAACACTCATACACAAGATGAAATAGGGACAGGGTTCATATTTACCTACCATTCATATACTACTGTGCTACTTTTATGTTAGACTTGGATTTTGGTTTGGATGATGAAAAAAGTTTCAACTATTCACATATCAATGGATGGCACTTTACCTTGTGTTAACTAAATTACAACTTTTGACTTAGTTCTACTTAAATTAATTTTAATTCAAATATTTGGAATCATTAGGTCCATTTCCAAGATCTGGCAGGAATTAATTGTATTAATTTTTTGTCTATGAATGGTACAGGTAAAAATTACATACATATGTGATGTGTGCTCTTCCCTTGAAGAAATAATATTGCGTTTACTATGGTAAGGAACAAGAGAATTTAATTTTAAATTAAAGTTGGACAAAAGTAAAAGAGGTGTTTTTTAAAGAAAAAGAAAAAAAAAACTAAAAATACCAGTTTCAAAATCCTTTTCGAGCAATTTACAGTATTACTCAGTATTAACAATTTATTGAGAAACAATTTTTTTCAACTAGGAATTAACAAAAAACATGTCATATTTGACCTTGGTAAAAAAATATAACATGAGTAACAAATATGAAATATACTTCATCATCAGAATCAGAAGATAAAATGAAAATCACTAAAATTTGGAAAGAGTTAAAACTTTCCTAATTTAATTATTTGACCTAACATTGTTTCGGAGGATCATCCTCCTCAGTGGTGATAGGACAAAATTAATTTAGCGAGGAAAGTTTTTTTGCTCAATTTCAGTGATACCCATTTCATTTACTTGTACTTTTCCTGTTTTTTAGCCTTGTTTTACGATCATTTTAAGTAGCACCAGAGAGGACCAAAGACTATGCTAGTCTACAAATAATTGTTTCCAGTTCAAAATAAAACAAGAGGTTGGCAATAAAATTGATGGAGCGGATTAGATTTTGTCATGAGCAATGGTATAATATGTACGTGAACAAAGTTCCAGAGTGCACTGAAAATTTTTCAAATACCAGGTAAAAAAAAAAAAAAGAAATTTATTCCACAAAATTCCAGAGAAAACAAGTTCATTTTGCCCTGATCCTGATGATAAAACATACTTTCTACTATTAACCCGATATATGTGCACAGCAAATTAAAAAGAGAGTGCAACTAAGAGAGCCATTCAAAGAATACAAGTCGCTAAATTTCGGATTTTTGACACACACACACACACCCCCTCCCGCGCTTTGGTGACGTGGGTCCAATTCTCTAACACCTAAAAACAAAATGGCATAAACCTCTTCTTAACTCCCTTCTCCTTGAACGTTATGTATTTCATGAACAGGCTCCAAGTGTAGAACTACCTAACTGAATGTACACTATTTTTTCTTATACAAAATAAAGGAACTGGTAGTCTGAAAGCTTGAAAGCTCTGCATGTACTAACTTTGATTCTTAGGCCTAGTGTATTAATATAATCAGATCACAAAAAAACCATCATAACTAATGACGGATTATCATTTCATCCTAAAACTAGGTTGGTGAGGATAGTAAGGAGAAAAGATTGCAAAGAAAATAGTAAATATAAATGCATCTTTCCTCTTTTTTCAAAAATAAACTGATCATTTTATTCAGTCACTAAAGCAGTGTCTTAAGAATTCACCAAATAAGAATAAACTTATTCATTGAGTCTTCTTTCGTCAGCAAATTTATGAAAATTCTCAAGGGTTTTGCTTTTTATTTAGAAATTTCATCCTAACTTGATGCAACCGACATAAGATTCTGAATTTTTTACCCACTTGTTTTCTGTTCATCTTTTTCGGGCTGATCTCTCTTACTCTACACTCTCGATTCTCCATTATCTATTCCTTTAAAAAATTTGCCTTCAGTTATGTACTTTACTCAGACTAAAAATCTAGCGACAAACAGAACTTAATTCGACTGCCTTGATCCATCTTTTGCGGTGAGCATTTCAAGACACTGATCAAAAGTCGTAGGTGGCTGGGGTCTTTGAAGTGATGGTGATGTGGGTAGAGATGGAAGGGGAGGTGGCATGTGGAGATGATTCTGAGATGGCACTGGCTGAGTTGACGAAGTCACAGTAAGGGGTGGTGGGCATGACACTGACATGCGGTTGCTGCGTTGTCTGATACCGTGCGTCTGTAATAAGTGATTGAACAGATACTGACGTGTCTTGAAGTGCTTGCCACAAATGGGGCACGGTTCCCAGGCATTGGAATTGGAATGGACATTGGCCATGTGCTGCTTCAGGTTTGACACACTGCTGTACATGCGCCCGCACTCCGAGCAGACTGGCTTTGGATCCAACTTGTACTCGCCTGTCATTACTGGTGTAGTTCCTATTGCTCCAGCTCCTCCCCCTGGAACCGTATCAGCCCCATTCAACTGAAACCGTACATCAAAGCTCGCCCCCCGTCCTCGGGGCAAGAGGAATATGTATTGTTTAAATTTTTTTCATTCTTTAGAATACAAAATAAGTTCCCGACTGCCACATCAGGTGATGAAAAAAGACTGCGATGAACTGCACAAAAACTTCTTTCACAAAGTGCCCCTACAGCTAAAATAGGCCCATGATTAATTGATACTCACAAAATAATGGCTTTTAAGATTTTATGCAGCAAAAAAAAAAAAATACAGATGACACAGATAGTGAGCATTAATAATGTTACGCTAAGCGAAAGATGAGTGTCTCAAACGGAGGTAAATTCTATCCCTCGGATTCACCTCACATTCCCAATTTTTTAAAACCGAAAATTTTCAGTGTTTTCGAAAGTATGAAGTGAAAATTGATCACATTGACATTGAGGTATCACATTACCAACAAAAAAAAAATTCCTTTCAGTTAAAGTCATTATTTTATTCTTATATTAATCATCTACTTGAGCCATGAAACTGGATTCCGTTGTCGGATCCCATGGGATGCTAGCAGGTGGACCTGCAGGTACTGTTTCGTTTTGAACTGTTTATGGCAAACATAACAGGTTTCTGTCCGGTCTTGCTGCGCGTGAACGTTTGCGATGTGTTGTTTCAAGTTACTGTTGTTGCTGTACACTTTGCCGCACTCTGGACAGACTGGCTTCTGGGGTCCCATGGACGACGGCGTACTCTGGTAGTGACCCATGAAATCGCTGCCTCCTCCATAGTCCGCCATCCAGCTCGGCCCTGGAACCCCATCAGCCAGGTCAGGTCAGTTCTGTCAACACTGCTACACAAAACCGGCAAAGTATCGAACCGGTGTTAACACTACTCGGGTAAGATAACATTGTCTGTCATTCACATTGGCCTCATATCCAGAGGGGAAGTCACTTCTCCTACTTCAGTTCAATTCGTCATTTCCCAGACTAGGGAACGTAACTCCATTCTAATGTTGCAAAATTGATTAAAACTATTCAATTTTTAACAAATATACCAGAGCAACTTTCGACCAAAGTTTTCCTGATTCTTGCATAAGATCAGTGAAATTTTCAGTTAGAAATGCTCAAGATTCTCCTGGTAAAAGTGGAATTTAGGAGAAGAAATTTGGCAACGTTGAAATGCAGTTACGTTTCTTCATAAAAGAAATGACAAAATTTCACAGTAATGGGTCAGTGGCACCCACTTTTTTGAAATTCATCATCAGAAAGTACAGGGTGAACGCAGCTTCTAGGAATTTTTTCAGATATTTTATTTGTAACCCTAAATGATAAAGAAACCCCTTTTGAAAGTACCGCAATTGGGACTTGTTTGAGACAATATATTTGGTGGGCTCTGATGACATAGCCAGGTCCAGGCGTGGAAAACGGCGTTCGATGATTGGCTGATCATAGCTTCAGGCATCATCTTGCTGCGTGAACTCGACAGTCAGCTTTTCATTATTGGTTCTTCCTCCCCTGAGAGATTCGTGCCTGAACTTTTAAAAGAACTATTTGAACTTCGAAAAATTTTACCTAAGAAATACTACACTGCACTCTTGCTAAAATTTCTTGCCACTGATCCATTAATGCTACTATTATTAGAGTTCCTATTTTTTTATACAGAAGATAAACTAGTTTTGTGCAAAAAAAAATGCTTGAATCAAAACCTTGATCCAATGATGGATGTGCTAAAATAGATGTTCGACAGAGAGCCATGAAATATATTTCTGCCAGCACAACTTATTAATATTGAAAGTTCAATTTTACATGATACTGTTTTGACCAGGGAAGAATTATCCATAAAGCAAAGTAACTAGTATAAACTTAAATGGTTAGTAGATAAGTATCATAAAGAACCAGCTCAAAATTTTAAGTTTGAAATGAAAGAGAAAAAGATGAGGATACTGAAGAGAAGATTTTAAGTAGAAGTTTCTACACTGACAGAATAAGTAAGACCAAGTTGTGAAGCGGTAATTTTGTTCCGTAAACATAAAAAATGAAGAATGATACATCTAATTCTTGATGTCATCCTTTGATAAACCTGGGTAGGAAGTAGCTTGGTCTCTACTTCAAATATACTTGATATTTTGAGGCAAATCTTCTCTAAATATTTACAGGATGTTTTGTAGTAAGACGACCAGGTTGTGTTGATTTTAATTCCAAGCTTCAAAATGCCATGAGTTCAGAATTTTCATCATTGAAAATTGATTAATTTATAAGATCAGCTACATTTACACCAAAAAGGGCCATTCAAATGGCTACAAATTATTTACCATCGGAGAAATAAGGGGCCCAAGCAAAATTTGTCAGCGAAAAAATTACAATATTTTTGGATTCCATTTTTATTTTTGACGATTGCCTATTAATGAAACTGCAAGAATGAACTTTTCAGACTGCAATTTATAGCATTTTGGAAAAAGCCCTTGTCTATTGCTAACCATAAATCGATGGCTAAGTTGAAAAATGCATACCTCAAATTGCGATTGTAATTACTGGCTCATACTTTAATTTTCTAAAGAAAAACTGGCCAATAATTTTCGTGCAAATTTTCTGTGATTTTTTTTTTCACTCATTCTGAATAAATCACACGAATTTGCACGGGAAAATTTTGAATAGTTTTTCTTGAAGAAAATAAATAATGAGTTATTTTTGAAAGTTTCCATTGAGATACAAATGTTGATACTAAACAATCAAAATGCTTAGTCGTCTATGAGTGGATAGATTCAGATTAAGAAATTAAAACACTTACCAAAATTACTATCTTGATTATTTCCATGCATTCCTGATGGTCCGGGCAACAATCCTGGTAAACCTAAGCAGACAAAAAGAAAGAGATAAAATTTGTAAACTAAATCATGAGACATTAATATTACTCAGTGATTAAAAACAAACCATGGTCCTTAAAAACTTTAAAATAGTGTGATATATTTGATTTGAAGTGGATATCTGACTTTGATCTGATTTGTTACCCACAATAACTAATAGAAGACAGGTAAGTAAATAAAAGTATCGAAGCATAAAAGTTGACATTTTTCATCATCATTGAAACATTTTATTAATAACTTTGACCCTTTGAGTGGGTATAGGTATTCACTCTCTTTGTTGAGGCATAAATAGAGGATTCATGATTTAATTAGAGGGTGATATTCGACTAACGCCTGCGCAAAAAGTTGTAAGGCAGATTCTGTGGAACTCGGTGGATTCTTGTGCCTATTTTAAAACTGAACTTGTACATTCAACTGTGAATCTCAGGCCTAGAATCACAGTGCTTTTTCAGTACTTCCAGACCACCCCCAAAAAATCAGTAGTCTATATGGACTTTCAAGACCAGTAGACACCTTGGGTCTAATTATGGAAAAATTATAGAAGGCACTTCGCTCAGTTTCTGTAGAGTGCTTCCAGTGACTCTACTAAGTATTATATGGTTCCTCTAACCAATAGATGGATTGATAGTTAAATGCTACAATGCAGTGGGGCAGCATCTTAACAATGGGTAATTTTGTTATTGTGATTGGTTACCTTGAAGTCCTAGTAGAGCAGCCGGAAAGTTAGGAGGTGGCCGAGCGTGGTCCATTGGATGACTACCATGATCGTTGAAGTCAGAATTGGGTTCCGACTTGACACCATCTCCGGTCACACTGTGGCCTCGCTCACTTAGTTCAGTATCACTAGAATTGCTATCTTCACCCGTTGAATGAGCATGCAATGATGACTCAGACGTTAATTTTATCTGTGAAATTGAAAAAGTCATTAGAGCAGTCAAAGCCGAAGTATTTGACATAAAAGGTCAACCTGAAATATTACCTACATCAATAATTAATTTTCAGGTTTTTTTTTTTCTTAGATAGTTAAAAAGACATACTTTGGAATAGTTTTCAGGCAAAATGTGTTGTTTGAAACTATGAAAAGCAATTAAGAGACACAACCATTTTCTCCTAACACTTCCGTCATTTTTGATAAAAATTTAAGGTTTTACCTGACTTTTTACAACTCCCAGACATTTCCTGGTATTTCTTGGCTATGGCAATCCTGCTGCACTGCTTTTTAGGTTTTGCTCTTGCTCTTAATGACTATAATAACCACATTAGCCTACAGAGAAAAAAAGGAGGTGTTGGCATCTTGAGGATCGTTCACCCTGTGACGTAGGTCGATACAACCTAGCCAGCGAAATCCGGAATTAGGAGTATGAAAAACGGACCGTAACGACCGGTTTTTTTTTGCTTAAATCAACTCATGATATAATTTCATACACTTTACACAGAATGGCTTTTTCTATAGACTACACCATTTCCAAGAAAATCGATGATAAAACTCGTCCGTACCGACCTACGTCACCAAAAAAATCCAAGATGCCTGAAATGCAAACACCTCTTTTTTTTCTCTATGCCATTAGTCCATGTAGTGAAAAAATAAACGCTGAGAGAAGGAAACTTACCGTCATATTGGAATTATTTAATAGTTGAGAGGGATTTTCTAAAGCTTGACTTAAAATCAAATCCCTGCAATTATTGTTTTGATTACTTTCGATGTTATTGTTATTATTGTTAGGGGTGCTAATATTGTTTGGGGTCGTTGAGGGTGAAGGCGACGTCATGTGATCAGAGCTACGACTTCTCTTGACAGGAGGAGGCGTCATTCCTTCATCTCCGCCAAGTCGCGATTCTGCACTTGGCACAGACCATGGCACTGGATTAGGCCCCGACTGAAATCAAACAAACAAGTCAGTAAAGTACCAAACTTAAAAAAAAAAAAAACCTTTAAAAATGTTTAAATGCAAATTCTAGCCATAAAAATTGAAGGATTTGGAGGACAAGGCGCAAAAATGCAGTTCTTGAAAAAATGGAGATGCTGCATATGTGAGGAATTTGCGATTTGACTACTGATTCTTATGGAAAAGTTCGTGAGGGGTTTCATCGTCTAAGGTTGCAGCTATCTTTTCAATTCTGTTTTAAACTAGATCTTCTCAACACTGCTTGAGTGGGAATGCTTCGATTTGCTTTTAAAAATATTGATCTAAATTAGGAAAAAAAAGGCAACAGCTACTCTTAAAATTAAGGTCTGTAGGTATCACAACGGAAAGATAGCAAGAACCAGGTTAGGAATTTAGTGCAGTCGCCAAACAGCGATAATTAACACAGTATTGTTGTGGTATCGATTCTATTTGAAGGAGATTTATATGACCACAACGTCATTTCGTCCGAGTTGCGCACTACTAAGAGAACTATGAAGTTGAGAAGGGGCGAATTGAAAACAGTATAGAGGTGGTTTCACGATAACTGAAATAGTTATATCGCCGTAACAGACAACACCTTCTTCGGTCATATTTTTTAGTAATAATGATAATCATTTGAATCTTTTTGCATTGATCTACACAGGGTTATGTAAGTATCATGACGCTTTTCTAAAATTTATCGCTCTACTTTTCAATTTTAATACATAAATTACCGAAAATGTGGTGTCTGTTACACTGACTTTTTACCACGTAACAGACAGCACATGTCGACGGTGAAACTACCAAACCACGTATCTCGTTTGCGGTGTTTAAAAATCTACGCTCGCATTTTATTTTTTTGAAGTAGACCAAATCAATATCATTCCTTGAAATTTTCACAGAATTTTCTCCGCACGAAAAGGAAAAATCACAGAAATTTTCAAGACTGGACGTTGAGTAGTTTTTCATTTAAAAAATAAAGTATGACAGGAAGTCTGCGACGTCGCAAACCGAGATACGTGGTTTGGTAGTTTCACCGTCGATGTTTGGAATTTACATAATATTAATTGAGGGTAGAGCAATAAATCATTAGAAAGCGTTATAATACGTAACCCTTTGAAGATCAATGCACAAAACAAAGTCTACTAAAAATATAACCCAAAAATGTGTTGTTTGTTACGGCGACCAAACAATTCCAGTTATCGTGAAACCACCCTCAGTTTGGCTTCGGCAAAATATGCTTGCTCGCACTAGAAAGAGGGATGGAGGTGGGTACTCACAGGGTTAAATTTAGGATGTTCCTTGCCGGGAACGTCAGCGAGTCCCCGAACTTGAAGGGTTTGGGCAGTCTTGAGAAAATCGGGAAGCTGTTCCTCGCCAATGTGAACTTCTCCGTTGTACATGAATTTGAGCAATGCCTTCATGTCCTGCTCCCGGACGTCCCTCAGGATCACGATCGGATGCTGACATGGGTTCGCCTGCAACAGAACCAGAACCAGAACTTCGGTTACTTTCCAGAAAATTATAACATCGAATGCTTAGAGCGTAGGGTGAAATTTAGCCGTTTATCGAGGATTGGACTACATTTTCGAATTAGGAACTACCATTTCTGGCTCATCCATGAAACCACTTATGTCATAGGGAAACATAGGTATTATGAATATGTTGATTTGAAACTGAGGTAGTTTTAGATCTCACTTGCGAAATGTGGTCCAACTGATTTTATGAACGGACATAAGTCAAATTTATTTGGATTGAGGTGAATCTAGGGAAAGAAGTTCCGTGTAAGTATCGATAAAACGTCGATACATGAGTAACTATGACGATACCTCGGGTCATTTTTTTTTCCGTTTTCAAACGAATCAATAGGCGGTAGGCTTATGCCTCAACGTTGAAAAATCCAATTTTACAGTAAATTAGCCCGAGAATAAAATCGAAAGAACGGCCGAAAAAATTTCATGGACTGACAAAAATTACCGATTGGTGAAATTTTTCAGCCGTAATTCTCATCGCCTGTTGAGCCGATTTTTGAAAATAAACCCCGTAATTGGTCATGTATCGAGGAGGAGACGATACATGGAATTATCCAACTTCTTGGATTCCACCTTATCGTTACTGTTATGCTGCGGAAGAACGCTATATGAGAATTTGATTGTGACCCAGTTCACTCGGAAAAAATATACCGTAGCAGAGAAAAATGTGCCTTAAGGCGACGAAAACAAAAAACATAGCAAATGACTAACAAATAAGAACCTCCGAAAAACTGATAGAAAAAAGAGTATGATTTTAGAAGAAATTGGTAAATCTGAACGCTCATATACTGCCGTGCTAAGGAAAAACGCCGTATGAACCTTCAGGCAGTGCCAAATTTCCTTCGATAAAACACGAATTTCCTGGTAAACTTGTGGAAAATTATCTGAAAAATTGGAAGGAAGATTCCTTCCAATTTTTCAGATAATTTTGTTCACAGTTTCACCAAAAGTTTCTGAAAATTTAGAGGCAAAATATTCATCGCGATCCTCAAAAATAAACGTTTTATGGGAGGAAATTTGGCAACTCTCGAATGTTTGTACGGCGTTCTGCCTTTGCACAGCAGCATACGACGTTTCTCCCTAGGATGGCAAAGGAGGCGACGCGACGGTGGCGCCGCGGTTGACCACAGGACGAATTCTGTTGTCGAGCGATCCTCCAAACGCGCACAAAGGCACGCTGGGAATGTTCCGAGGGCCCTTTCCGGGACTTGATTTGCATTATACACTTTCCCGAAACCTGGACCTCGAGTCGGGTTTGAAGGCGCCCACTTTCACGCTTTTCCCGCTAACTACGTCGAGTAAACTCATGGCGCCTTCTCCCCAGCCCTCTTCATTGTTCTGTCGTACTCTGCCGTGCTATAAGGAAGAACGCCGTATGAACCTTCAGACGTTGCCAAATTTCTTTTGGTAAATCATGAATTCTCGGGAAAATTTGTCAACGTTTTTCTTCCAATTTTTCCTATAAATTTGTTCGCAATTCAACCTAAAGTTCCTGAAAATTTCAAGGGAAAATATCCATAGCATTCCTCAGAAATAAACATTTCATTGGAGAAAATTAGGCAACTCTCGAATGTTCATACGGCGTTCTATCTTAGCACGGCAGTACTGAGGAAAAGCATCGAATACGGATTAAATTTTGCAATAAGGAGCCACTATCTCTGGTTCTCCCATAAAAGCACACATCTGCATAGGGAAACCAACGGCATGCATGTTGTTACTAAAATGTGCTAGAAATAGTGGTTCCTTATTGCAAAATGTAATCCATATAAAAAGGGCCGAATTAATTACTTCTCAACCTTACTCCTTATCTCAGGACAGCCCAATACGGTTTTTAAGTTGTAGATAGACTTAACATAAACATCGACACAGCATAATGAAAATGATCTTTTACACGAATCTCAACTAACTGGCACGCTCATTCTCCTTCAAGTGGCATGTTCCTAAACGGGAAGAGAATTCTTTAACGTCATGACATTTCGCCTTCAGTTGTTCGCGTAGGCAACACAATCTCCCGCGTGGTCGAATAGTGGTATCATCGCAAAATAGCATGCTCAATTGGGACATGGCGAGTCAGAGCTTTTCAATGAACGGAAAGAGGTTTCTTAAACGTCACGTCAGTTCGCCTTCAGTTTTTTGAGTAGGCAATACAAGCTCCCACGTGGTCGAATAGTGGTATCGTCGTGGAATGACACGCTCACACGTTCGGACACACAAATGAAAGCTTTGTACCAAGCAAGTGGATCGAGATAGTCCTAAATCGATAAAGATAGAGGAAACAGATGAGTGGGAACTGATCGAATGCGATTTGATCGAGAAATAATAGAGAAGCAGGTTTGTCTATACATTTTAGATAGAATTACGTCGATCGTGCGGTGCCAGTCTCTTACTCTGGTAAATTCTAGAAAAGTATCAATTAATAAGGTGAGCAAGTATTAAAATAATAATTTATGACGAAGCATCTAGACCGGTGCCTTCAGTCACGGGCTTTAGGCTGGTTATAAACACGGCACGACTATGCTACCGTGCTAAGGAAAAATCCCGTATGAACCTTGTCGGTTGCCTAATTTCCTTAGATTAAATGCGAATTTTGAAAAAAAAACTCGTGAATATTTTTCTTTCAATTTTTCGGTGACTTTTCTCCGTATAATCAAATCTTAATTATCTGAAAATTTCAAGAGAGAATATTCACAGCTCTCCTCAAAAATAAACATTTCATAGGAGGAAATTTGGCAACTCTCGAATGTTCATACGGCGTTTTCCCTTGGCTCCGCAGTATGAATCGGGCCTTTACTCGGACCTCAGAGCTGAATCACCGAAAACTCGGCGGGAAATCAGGGCTACGGCGGGCGGTCGCGGGCCGAAAAATTCTATTTCCAACTCGTCAAAAACGGAGAAAGAAGCGAAATGAAGCGAGGCTCATTGAAGCTGGAATTCTCGGTTCCCCCGAATCCTGGGTTGTCGTTGTTCGGTACAGCTGGAGCGACATGAGTGATCCATCTTGTTGCGACATTATCTATCTTGGCAGTCGGAGTGCATTTCTGGATTCGAACCCCGGCCCCCGGACAGGGGGTGGGGGGTCCGGGGTCCCCCACGGATAATTAAAAAAAATAAATAGACGCACTCCGTACTTCCCAATTTTTCGAGCCGCCGAGGCTGTCGCCCGAGGGATTGCCAAATCAGAGTAAAAAATGGTTAGGAAACGTGTTTTTTTTAAACTGGAAGTTGGAATATAATTTAACCATACATCGTTCGAGCTCAAATATGAATGGTTGATCTTAGGACAAACATTCTACTATATTTTCTTTTATTTTTTTTTTTTTTATTTTTTTTTAAAAATGATTTCCCAAAATTTCCCGTTTATAAGTACAATTTTTGAGAGGAGAACATACACCTCGACGCTCTAAAAAATATAATCGGTGCTGTTGTTGTCCATCGGCTCAGCGTCACTTGATAGTTGAAAGCTTCATGAGTAAAACGTTCTGAGCTATTTTGAAATGGGGAGTACATCATATTGTAAGTACTAGTTGAAGCTATTCCCGCGTCAGGTCTCGAAAGCCCCGAGTCACCGTTCACCAGTTCACCAATCATCGCCGCGCCGAGAGCCAGAAAAAGCACGCCGCTTCATTCTCACGTGAGCCCTGTGAAGCACGGCCTCATACGGAGGATAGGGCTCGTCTCCGAGTAGAATAACGCTTTTTGCGTCGAGTTTGGCTGTGGTCTCAATCGCTGGGCCGCAAATAAGCCTCTAATGACCGGGCGCTAATGTATTCACTTTTCTCGGGCCGTCTGTTTCTGATTGACACGATTTGACAAGCGACTCGACTCTGCGGGGCCCCGCGGGCTAGGCCGAAGCGAACGAAGCGAACTTTATTTTTAAGCGACAATTAGCCTCACTTTTCTCGGAATCCGAAATGATGCGTCGCTTTTGGGTGCCTGTGCCGCACGGAACGGTGTACTGAAACGTACGGAGGGGCAGGGCCGAATTAGCGGGAAAAATTGGACCGAAAAAAGTACGAGGTGAGAATAGTACGTTTAGAAGGCATGTTTCCTCACCAAAATTTGACCGTCACATCGAAAATCCCGATATTGCGTCATAATGGAAAAATTTACGTTTGTTGGTACCTACATACGCTGTTGAAAATCGCGAGGGGAGGAACTGAGTGCAGGGGTCTATACAACGCCAAAAAACCCCAAGTGATAGGTATGCGATGTGAAATTAGCACCATAAAATTGTATGTCACTCCGCAAAAAAAGTAGACTTCGCTCCGTAATACTTGCTGCCGTGCTGAGGGAGAACGCCGTATAAACATTAGAAAGTCGCCAAATTTCCTCCGATAAAATGTTTATTTTTGAGGAACGCTAAAAATATTTTGCCTTTAAATTTTCAGGAACTTATAGTGAAATTGTGAACAGAATTATCTGAAAACTTGGAAGGAAAATATCCACAAGTTTACCAGGAAATCCGTGTTATATCAAAGGGAATTTGGCAACGTCTAAAAGTTCATACGGCGTTCTTCCTTGGCACGGCAGAATAGTGTAAGTCATTCTTAAAGGAGAATAAATGCCGCTCCCATTTAAACCACTCGGGGTATATGACGTAATCGATGGGGGACCTCTCCCGGAAATTTTAGACGATTAATTTTGGAATCATTGAAAGAAAACCGCGACGCAAGTTTTGAGCGTATAAGTGCTGGAGTTCAGCCTGGGGTTTTTTATGGAGCTGGAAAATTAAATTGAATAAAAATGACTGCTTGTGTGAGCTAACCCTTTTGCAGTTCTTTCTATAGGGAAAAAAACTATTGTGTGATGAAGACCCTGGGACAATCGCCCCGGGAGCCCCCCTCCTCCCTTCCGGCGCTGATTTAGCTCAACATTCAACCTAACTTCTTCCTCTACAAGGTGCTCAAATTTGTTGTTAACAAAAACTCGTATTTGACAGTGTAGAC